TCATTGAGGAAAATAAATATTTTTGTGAAAAATATCTGCTCTCTACTGGAAAACTCAAATTTCTGCTGAAAATCAAAAAAGTTGGCTGAAAATCTTGAGTCAGCAATGTGTTAGTACTGCCTTGTGATGAGAGCCATGCTTTGTGGGAGGTGCAATCTGTCCAGGCAGCCGGGGTGGGGGGAAGAGACGCTTGGACTAAAAATTTATGAAACAATGAGGCAGCTCTTCCAAATACACTCTGGGAGACACTTTTGGCAAAAATATGTCAGCATTTTTAGGAGGTTTTCTGAAGGGGGAAAAAAAAGAAAAGAAATTTCTGTAGTAGACTTGTAGGCATTGAGGAAAACCCCATTTTCTGGCCATTTTTATTACCATTTTATACAGTAGTTTTTCGTTAAGAAGTTTAAATGATGGAAACTTGGCTGCAAGCATTTTTTTTATGGTAAAAACTAAATATTACAATCTGGATTTTGCAATGAGCATAAATAAAGGTTGTTTATTTATGATGAGGCTTTCATAATGAGGCTCATTTATTTTGATGAGGTGGCGTGAATGCACTTAGAAGCAGTACCATCATCAAACATGGATGTCCTAAAAAATGCATATGTTATGTGTATGCAGAGCTTGAAATCTGATGGACTTCAAAATGAAAAATGTTTGCTGTTGTATTTGCAGCTTGGGAAAGAACAAATATAAAGAGTAAATCTAAGGAAGTACTTAAACAGCAAAGGGAATTATGCCAGTTCTGAGTCTATGAAGTAGATTTAATGCAGAGATTGTTGGTATTTTCTTCCATTTGGTCTCGTTATTTCCTTTCAGAGCGTCTAGCCTATGAGGAACCCAAGGGCAAGTGCAAAGTGCTAGTTCAGTAAGTAACGGAAGTGTTATGGAAGCGATTTGAAAGCACATCTGCATGCTGAAAGCAGACTTTTACAATTGCTTCCTCCCGAGCAGCATTGATAAGTGCAGTGTTTACCACTGTGATTTCCTTATTTGGTTTGCCCATAATTAGAAATACGATACTTGTGTAAATTTAAGATGGAGCAGGAAATTAAAATCATAAAAAATATTTCCCTGGGAAGATTAGCATTTGAAATACAAAGTATTCATCTTTTTTACAATAATAGGCTATTTCTAACCCATCCACGTTTCTCACAGTTAAAGCTGTGATAATGTTATTCATTATTGCTGATGTATAGGGTCTTTATATTTCCAGCTGGTATATTACGTAATTGATAAACTACTTATGTATGACTAAGTGTGTAGCCTGCATATGCTGTTCTTTATACTTCTGGGCAGGAACGAAAATCATTGTTTCTACATGACGCTCAATCTGTCAAGAATAAAGTAATTTCCAGGATATGCAAAACAAAGATTGAAGGTCTTGTTTTAGAAGACCTACAGATGCCTCTTTGGCATGGGCAAAGCATTTCTTGCTACAGAAAGCCTTTATGGAAGATGAACAATTTAAGAAGCCGTGTGATCGAACTGCTCTTGTAGTCGTTCAGAGCAGTGAACTTCTGACTTGAAGACAGAGGAAATCTTCTCCCACAACTTGTAAATTATAAAATGATGCCCAGTCATGTGTGACAGCTGAGTTAGAGTTGGATAAAGTTCGTTTGTTAATTGCAATAAGCAGACTTTAAATCTGCACTATTAGGCAAGAAATATAAGTGACCTCTCTTGCAAGATTTCCCGTACTTCTCTCCCATCACTTCTAGGAGCAGTCCTGAGAAGAGCTGTTCTTCTGGAGGGTATCATCTCCTATTCTTGTTGCAGCTTGAAAGTGGAACTGGCAAACATTTTTATACATTTAAGCATTACATTATACTAGAAATAAGGGAAAGTTTTGAGGTTACAGAACTGATTTATCCAATGCTCCTTTACATGAGCTAAACATTGCATCTTTTCCTTTTCCTAATGGGCTCCTGCATGCCATGCAGCCATCTGTAGATGATGAAAGTGGAACGCGTGAAAAATTTTTACAGGTTTTTTAGAAGATAAGGAGTAATACACATTTTTAGAATTGCTCTTAAGTTACCTCTGCAGTCACAGGCATACTACCAATGGATATGTCTATGCAGAAAGATTTACAACTCCTGAGCTTGCTTTCCGTCTTGAAGCGTGCTAAATTTGTACCTATATGATATTTCTTATTGCCTGTGTTTCTACATGGCTGGCAATGTTAAGCCAAAAACAATTTTTTATTTAGCTGACAAATACTGACAAAATATAGCCAGCCCAGGCAGTCAGTGTTGTACAAAAAAAGAAAGAAATTTCTACAGCTTTCCTAAGCCGCTTCAAGGTATTTGGGCTTAAGATGTTTTAAGTGCATGGATATGAAATGCTACCTTCTTTCCTATCAATTATTATAATGACTTGTCACGCATCTGTAGAGATCTCTGGCAGTGCACAGATGCCAGGCAGCATGTTGCGTCTCCAGTAGCTCTCAGGACTTGTGGCGTCAGCATGCTCCAAGCTTCTTGGGTATTCTTACCAGATTGATGTGTCTGGCTAATGAAAAAGAAAGATGACCCGGCGCATCCTTCAAGACTTTATGGTCTGTTTGTGGAGAGGTTTTAGTAGCAGGTAGTCTTTGTGTTTTTAAATTTTACTTTAAACAGCTAGGCAATGAGAAAATAAATGCCAGTAAGGTCATGCTGCTGAACTTAACAAATGATGTCCACAAAATCTCGGCTGGTTTGGGGTGTCTTTGTTGTATTGGAACAGAGATAACATGGGATAGAGTTGCTAGGGCAAAAAGCTGTAAGACTGAGAAAACATGTTCTATGCTGAAAAACAGTACTGTTTTAAAAAAAAAAATAATGGGGATGTCTGAGGTCAGGTTCTGTATTAACTGTTTGGTGGCTTACTGAACAACCTTTATTGCTGTTTTTCTGTATGTGTGCACAACGTGAAATACGATAAATGTATGTTTGTCTTGCCCCATAAAGTGTGGATGGAGAGCTGAATTTTTACGTGCAAGCATTGGCAGGGAGAAGTTGTGGAAATGAAGTCACTACTCGTATAAACCTTTTTTATATGATTGCCTTTCTTCTTACAGATGCAACTTTGACACAGTAGCCCAGTGACTCATCAACCTGCCTTACAAAGTCAGGGTCTGCAGTAAAGATAGGTAGTTCCTCCAGAATCTGAGTTAAAACAGAAAAACACGGAAAAATACAACAGAAAAAGAAGGTCAGAGTGACCCAGACTTTCAGAGTATCAAAGAAAGATTGAGTTCCTGTGGAATGAAAAGAATTGACCAAGGATTTGTGCCAATACTCTGATTCCTCGAGCAGCAGGAGGAAAGCCACATCTACTGAACTCCTGCTCTAGCCTCCTTGTAGGCATTCTCACGCTATAGATTTCGTGCTTGCTTGACATTTTTATCCATTCTGAACAGGGGATCTATTGCTTTTGTAGTGCACCTCAGACTCAAGAAGCCTTGCTTTATAATTTAAAAAGAAACATGAATATTTTTGGTTTCGTGTTTAAGATTTAGAAGGCTTGATTCCTTTTTTTTAAAAAAGGGTTTAAAATTTAAAAAGGTTTGTTCCTTTTTTTTAAAAAAAAAAAAAAAAAAAAAAGAAGAAGAAAAGGAAGAAAACATAAAAGCAGTAACAGCAATCCCAGATGAGCAAACCTTTATGACTTTGAGTCCTGAACCGGTGAAACAGCATGGATTTAACCAAGGCTTCAAACCAAGGACAACCTCTGACTTTTAAACTTTCACTTGCAAGGGAAACCTGGCAGGAAAGACTTTCTGCTTTTAGGAACTGATAGAGACTCTGTGAGAAGACAGTCAAAATTGCATATTTGGACAAATTTGTTATGGGACATAATGGGCCTGTGGCAACCAGTGGGAGGTAAAAGGCATCTGTTGGAGGGGACTTTGAAGCAGGTTATGTGGAGTTCTTGCTGAGCTACCTATGGGCTGATAATACATAGCCCATGGTTGCTTATTCTTTAAGCATTGCTTTTCCTCCATTCCCATGATCTCCCTGTTCCCCTCACTCACCTACCGGCTCTCCCAGCTATCTAGGGAAACTGTAAAGCTTGCAGGGTTTCAAAAGGGGTTTCTTGTTTCTATCCTTGTTTCTATCCTAAGTTAGAATATAGCAGCTGCAGGAGCAGCGTTGCTGCTCTCTTTTCCTGCCCCAGAGCAAGTCAGGAAGGTTGTACTGACAAGAGAGAAGCTGAAGAGGGGAAAGAAAGCCTTAAGAGGGAGATGCCTAGATCTCCCATCAGCTCCCCAGTGTGGGTTAGGCAGGGTTTTTAGTAGAGCCTTTGCTTTAGATTTAGTACTGTTCTGTATATATTGTGCATGTCAAAGTGGAAGCTTGTACAGTGCTCTTGCAATGCTAGTAATCCCTGTACAAAATGCTAACAAGGATACAAGGGACCAAGACGATTGTCTAGCTGCCCAGACCATCCCTTAGGTAACAGGAAAGGGAGATATAAATGAGTCTTGTGTAGTCCAGACGGACATCAAAGGCCCTGTTGCTCAGTTAAAGTCAGGAGTTTGGTACCGAACTTGGAGCATGAGAAATTTTACAGCCTTGTTTTGCAGGTCTATTGTATGATCACAAGAGCTTGTTAAAATGTGTGAACAGCTGCTTACTTGTTCCTGTGGAAGTCTGGGGCCTGAATGTTTTTGCCCTCTTGAGACGAGAGTGGACCACGCAGTTCATAAAGTCTGACTAATTAACTTTTGACCTTTCAGCAGCTTTGTGCAAATACAGAACCTTTGCCTCAATAAACAGAATTTCAGGTTAGTAGAGAAAAGACATTTTTTACATTCCCCTTTAGCCTGTTATGCTTTTGTGAGGTACAAAGCAACCTCGATGTGTGCAGCAAAATAAATGCTGAAAACATGTTGTTTTCATATTTTGATGCTGCAGTGTAATGACTGTCTTAAGAGAAAAGCTCAGAGTCTCTGTTCTTTTTGACTTCCAGTACTGAACAGTAGAGATTAACTATTTTATGCTTCTTTTCAGACTGGATATTTCCGTCTGCCCCATGGGGATTACTTCATCGAGCCCATTAAAAAGCATCCACAGAAAGAGGGAACACCTCATCCCCATGTTATCTATGGGGCGAATATCCTTCGAAATGCTTTAAGGAGAAGACGAGCGATCCCCATGGAGAAAGAACAAGCATGTGGATTGAATGGTATAAATATTTCTGAATTTTTGCCTATTTGCTTTCTGCATCTTTTCAAGCAGCTTTTAATTTTCCAGTTGTCTGTGCCTTTCCTTCTGCTAGACTTGTTTAAATTCTGGGAATAGAAATTATGGAAAACAGGAGTATCTTGGTTAAAACACCTCTGTGGCCACCTGTGTTCCTTTCTGAGAACATGAACCCGAGTCTCCCTTATCGTCACTGGAATATGGTCTTCTGTGGCCTTGACACCACTGATGCTTTCTACTCCTCGCTTTTTTTTTCTTCCGGCCAAAACTATTCAGTGATTTTTGACTTGAATTCTTGAATAACTCTGGGATGACAAGAACTGCAGTCGTCATTATTTTTAATAAAGTATTCTCACTCTGTACAAATGCACTCCTCAACATAAAATTGCCCAACTCTAATCTATGGTTTAGTTTTAGGGTTTCAACTTTCTCTGTGATTGTTACCAGAATATTTGAAGACTTTTAGCTGGTTGTTCTGAAAGTGGGGTACGCTGTCATACCAAAGACATAAATAGCAAAGTGTTTTTTGTAGAAGCATAAGTAAAAATGATTTACATGATGCTGAGTGTTACTGCACCAATATGTCGTTTGAGCAAACAAACTATTAGACCATCCTAGAATGAGGAACGTGTCTGGAGGGTAGTTAGCATCTCCTAATTAGAAAATTCCTTTAATTCATTAGTTAAATCATGTATTTGATTTCATAACAAAAACTTACAAATACTACTTTGGTTCTCTGATACTTGAGCCTTCAAACTGAGTCTGCACAAAACATTAGTAAAGGTACTGTATTGGTAGGGAAAATGAATAAATAACATAAGAGCTGAAGTTATGTACAAAAGGAGCTGCAGAATGTTAAGGGGTGTGTGTCTGTTTCACAAGTTAATGGTTAAAAAAAGTTGGTCCTTTTCCAGGGGTTAAAAAAGGAGGCTATATAGGAAATTTTAATGCTCAGTCGTGATTGCTGCTGAACTTTTACTGCTGCATAAATGCTAACTGATGAGTAAAAGAAGCAAGCAACTGTTCAACTCCCACTACATTCTAGTCATAGACCTGGTGCGCTTACGGCTTGCTGGCAAAAAGCAGTGTGAACTGATAGTTGGGTGAAGCTAGAAAGTTGATGGGTAGGGGGGAGCTATTAAATCTTCAGTGATGTTGGCTAGGCCAGGGTAAGAGGATGCCATAAGAATGAATGAATGTTCTCTCTTATCTTTTATCAACTACAAAATATGTCTACTTGCTTGACAACGAAGCCTAAAATTGACAAACCATCAGCATCTACCATTGGCATCCTATTTCATCTTAAATCTAAAATAGCTCTCTGTTTTTTATTATTAATAATTTATTAATTATTGTTTTTTTTCCCCTGCTGATTGCTGGGATAAATAAGAGGAATCAGTCTAGATTTGCATGAGATGAATGAGGAAATGCCCTTGTCTGCTATCTCGCAGGTTTCTTGCCCTTTGTGTGATAGGATGCAACAGTCATGGATTTCTGTAACGGCCTTAGCTCTTGTATGTTTTGTTGCTTCGCTTCTATTGTAGCCGACTCAAAAAGTGTAGAAAATGTAAGAAATAAGTCAGCATCATTTTCTGTTTACGTTATTTGTCGTTAAAAGAGCAGTTGCTCTTGTTAAAGGTGGAATACAGAACAAAAAAAGAAAGTGAGTTAATTCTTGTGTTCTGTGGTAAATATCATTGCTGCACAGGCTTTTGGGGACTCTTTTGTGCATAAATTGTTTTTAAAGGTGGTAAGTTGTCTCTTCCTCCTTTTTAAAATCACAAGCATTTCTTGCTATTCAGTTTGATGTCAAAAATCTGATATGCCCACGGGTATCACACGTGGCCCAGATTAACGCCTTTTGAGATCACTTTAAAGCAAAACAATTTTAATTTAAAATTTGCATTTAATTTTAGAAACAAATTCTGTCTAATAGCTTTTAATATCATGGTCATTCTTACATATTCACAAGACCCAGCTTGCTTCCATTTGGTTGGGCAATAAGGCTGAAGAACTGCTGTCTATATCTCTTATGGGACCTGTTTTTTGGAATCAAATATTTTAACCTTGTAGGCTGAGATTTATCATATGGAGTGTCTGCTTTTGTTTATATGAGCTCTAATTGTGTTTGTTTTTTACGCTTAAACCAAGACAATTGAGCCATTTCCAGGAATTATACTAGGGAAACACTTTGTAATGAGGTTAAAATGTAGTGATGATTTTTGCTTGGAAAAGCTGAGCTACCTGGGTGCTTTGAAGTCAGCCCACAAAACTGAGTGGTGAAAATAGTGATCTTTCAGTCAGAAGTAACCTATTTATAAAAATAGTTGTATGAGCAGAATCAGCAGACAGAGTTGAGTGTGGGAGGGAGGAGGTAAGGGACTGTGACCTTCTCTGCAGTCCTTCTCAAGACTTTTTTAATCCAAGAGTCATGTCACCTTTCGGAAGAAGCTCTATGCAGTGTGATAGTGCTTTTTACTTTGGCAACAACCAGATACAAAATTCAGCTAAACTTTTTGATCCTTATTTAGTCTTTTATATTTCCACAAGTTTTGTCTATCTGTATGCTGACTTGGAAGTGGGTTTGTACATGTTTTAAAAGGGAAAAAAACAAGTATTTCAATTCATAGAGTATCTCCTGATAGCTTTAGATGTCCATGGACTGCAGAGTGAGAAGTATGTTCTCTTCCACGTTCTCCTCCAGAACCAAGGGTAGGATTCATCTCAGCTACACAGAATTGTGTGCCCTGTGGAGATCTACATCTAAGTCAGCTGTGCAATCTCCCCTTGGAGTTTAGGGTTCAGTTCATCTGAAGAAATTAATTATCTGTTTTGAATTGGATGAATCTTGCCCTAAACTCCATTAACTATATTGACCAGATCTCTGGTGACTTTACAGAAGCCTTGACCAACTATAGAGACACCCATTTAATCAGAGCAGACCCGCCCCAAACATTCCCTAATCTTTTGCCGCTGCCAGCCAATAGCTTGGTGGTGGCTTTTGAAGTTCCAACCCTACTCATCGTTCACGAGTATGTTAACATGATGCCTTTGCTAGCCATTTTTTAGTTTGCTTTATCAAGACCTCAGGAAGTCACACACTGTCATGCAATCACTCGAAGACTGTAAAGCTAACAACTAATAAATGTCACATAAGCTTAATCTCGCTGCTTTTTGTGAATACAGTATAATATAGTTTTAAACTAAATGACTGCATACTCATTTTGCACAGGACCTTTGCGTCCTTTGGTACCCAGGACTTTCTGGGATTGTGCAGTGGAGAACATGTTCATAGACCCTTCCTCATATGCTAAGCAGCGAGCAAGGGAGAAAAATGGAAGAGGACTAAAGAAGATCTTGTTGCTAAGACTTTTAGATACTCACTTGAATCGTGCTGGCTTCTATCATTGCTTCAGGCACACTGTGTTGAGGCTGGTCAAGTTATTCAAACCAAGCTTCTTCCAGTGCCTACTAATTGATTTTGCCGCCTTTTCTGGACTTCCAGCTTAAGGCTCTCAGCTTGATGTCTGAAGAAGTGTTGGACGCTTACAAGAGCAACTCTTCTGAAAGGGAGCTGTTCAGAAAAATGAAGTGGTATGTGAGAATTGCATGAATAAAATTTCATCTATCTGGCTGAAATGGAAAATTAGAGTTTTCATCGAGAATGAAAATATTTCTTCCTCTTTGGGTTGAACTGCAGGTCACTAAATATCATTTTGAGAGGGTACATCAAAACATAAGGTCATTCAGAAGAATCTAATTTTTTGAAAATCCTTGCTCTGAGCGTTGTGATTTTGTGTACTGGTTCTTTTGTCTCCTGGTTTGAGGTTAGTGAGACCATCCGAGCATGGCACACTGACCTGCTTGTGTTCTGCAGCCATTTTTTGGCTCGTCTCCCCCTCAGGATCATTTTTCTTATTGAAAATGCAATTGAAATATTCGGCTGAGTTTCAGCCCTGACTTGATTGTCTCAGCCCCTCTGCCCTACATCACGGTCGTCTTTCTTGACTTTGTTTTATATGGCTACAAAGCCTTTGACTGTTTCTTATAATTCCTTCTTCAAGGTGTAATGCATGAACTGTCACATCTGGCAGTTTTGTTGTTGCTGTGCTTTCTGCCATCCAGTGCCTGAGTTTGTATATCTGCCTTTTACCTGTTCCTCCTGTCCTGTTTGCCTCTAATGCAATTCTAGTACTAAGTGATAAGTTCAACATGAAGCTTATGTGACTTCTGCATCTATTTATTCTTGCAGTCACCTCTATCTCCTCTATCTTCCTTCCTCTTCCCTCTTCTTACAGAACCTACCCTCCTCCAAATTGTCATGTATGGTCTTTTGGTCCTCTTAGTTTGTTCTTCTGGTTAGTGGCCTCTTTGCTTTTAAGGCTTTTTACCTACAACAGCCATTTTCTGTCCAGAGCCCCCAAAATGGGATGCTCTTTGGTCTCCTGTATGCAGTAGAAGCCCAGGACAAAAGGGTCTGTTTCAGAATCATTTTAGGCAGTTGCATATCATCATCCGCATTTCCATAGCATTTAGCACTGGACAATTTTTGAAATGTGTTCATTTTCACAGCATAATTGCTGTTTCTCCTAAGCTCTCCGCATTCTGTGATATAGATACTTCCTGTAGAGCAAAAGTCTGTAGCACTTGCACGATGTATGTAGAGAGAAGGGGGACTGAAAGATTTCCTTGTCTCTAATCTACCTACAGTAATACATTGGCATCAGTTACATTCCTGTGCTCTTGCAATGATTGTGTTAATTAGTTTATGATTTGTGGTATCCTCAACAGATTTATATATTTGGAGAAAAATCATTATGCTGCTAGAAATCAAGGATGTGATAAATGATATAAATTAAAACTTTGGTATGTGCTGTACACTTCCACTGCTGCTTAGGCAATTGCCAGATGACTCACTCATTAGTTGCATGCAAAACCGAGTGCTAATCTTGAAAATAGTATTATGATATTGTACATTGCAAG